TTCTCTGGAGGTAAGTAGTGGGGCTTCTGGGGGGTAGGAGGGAAATGGGGGCAGGGCTTACAGGACGCCTCGCGAGCGACTGGTCGAGGCCTTGAGATCGCCCAGTAGTTCGCGAGCGACCGGTTGGTGACCATGGCCTTAGAGACATGCAGTTTAGTCCAATCAGGTTCATATCCTTACCAGTATTTGGAAAGGTCTGATTAAATTAGCAAATTTCTCAAGTGTTTGATGTTTGTATCACAGTGTAAATTTATGATGCTCAAATGTACAGAACATAACATCATTGTTCAATAAGCTAATGTAACTGTATCTGCATGAAAAGGTCATGATGGAATTGTCACCAGTTTATGGAAAGCTGAATTAAACTAAAGTAACTGATTGCTAGGGTTCTTTACCTTTAAGCAGCCATTTAATGGTGAATATTAAAACTATGCTTGGGTGTCTAATGATAGAGATAGTTACTTTAAAATTGGAACCCATTTAAAAATTGAGGTTTTATATATGATCTGTATTGCCATATACTATTTCTCTCCTGTGTCATGGCTTTATAATTCATGGATTTTATTTTTAACTGAATGCCTATAGCCTGGAACCGAGTGCCATTTATGTTCAGTTATAAATGTAGAATCACTTTAAGTTATCTACAGAGTGAATTTCGTAGGTTTTCTGATTTTTTTTGTTTGTTTATAGGTGACTTAAAATACCTGAATTTTTAAAAATAAGTATTTAAATAAAATAGGAAAGGAAATAGTCTGCAAATATATATATTCTCACTTCAGCAGATCATGTGATCAGAAATTAGGAAACTCATGTTCTTGGATTAGGCTACATTAAAAAAAAATGGGGTTATAAGCAAGTTTTATGTCATACTAGTTTTATGCTGATAGGAAAATTGGAATTGAATTCTATAACTTATACAAACATACCAGATTAAAAAGTCCTTTCACAGATCTTTCCTGTAATTTATTTTTCCTGAAAATATATAGAGTAACTTGAAAGTGACTGTTGTGCTTGTATGTTAGTAAGCACTTTCTTTTTTATTTTGTGTGTACCATCTTAATATCTTAAAAAACTTGTGTAAGTTAAAAAGTTCACAATTATATTGCTGTTTTCTGACAGTTTAATTGTAAGTTTAAGGGCTTTTTAAGCAAAATGCAGGACAATGTAGCACTTTAAAGACTAACAAGATGGTTTATTAGATGATGAGCTTTCATGGGCCAGACCCACTTCCTCAGATCAAAATCAAAAAGGGCTTTTTAAAATACTGATGTTTGTACATATGGATGTGAACATGTACCCATGTACATGATTAGCCAATGAGCCTAATGGTTACACGCAACACCCCATGCCTCTGCATCAGAGATAGGGGGGAGAAGGCAGGAGCCCGTGTGCATAGGGAAGGGAGCTGGTTATTAAGCTGGATCCCTGCTTGTACTACCTCCTGTGGAGGCCCCCTCTTCCCTCCCTGCCTCTCACAAAACTGGGTGCTCATGAGCACCAGCTCCCACCACGTTCCCTGTGTGTAAATGTGTAACCATTGTAAATTTCAACAGTTACATGTTTACAAAAACACATTTTACCATCCTTACTGTAACTACACTGGTATGTGTAAGTTCTATAACCCTCTTACTGAGGACATGGTTATACCTCAATTATCTATGTATAAGAATAAACTACACTTACACAAGGCTCATTTATAGTGTACTAGAATAGTATAACTACTTCAGTAAAAAAATCACTCCCCGTAACCAGTGTAATTACACTAATACCAAAAATGGGTTTAGACCAGATTTATTTAGGTGCTTACTCAAGCCAAAGGGACACAAATTCTGTGCTTATTCGCAGAGCCAGCAATAGCTGTGCAAGCTCTCCAGATTCTTTATTATTTTATGTGGGAATTTCCTGTATACTAGAAGCAAGAGGTTTGCTGGTTCAACTTATTAAGCCTTTTAGTGCTCTGCTGAAATTGCTAATAAGGTTGATTTTTTTTTTAATTATTTAATTTGAATGTCATTAACCAGGAGCTGGGTTGCTAGCAATTTTGCATAGATTATGTAACAGCCAACCTAACAAGTTTATCTAAATCTGTAGTTATGACTTTTAACTAGTGATCTAGAAGTTTAGAGGATCTATATTTCATTATTAGTATTGAGTCATATTTTTTTTTATTGCTGTGAATTTGCAAGGAGATTTCTAAGTAAATTTTTTAACTTTGTAATTTCCCTTTTAGAAACACTTTACTTTTCTTTCACATGAAAGAAAAAATGCTTTGTCCGTTCCTTACACCTTTTGATCTGTGACCATCTTCACTGTTTTGCTAGGATTTAACTTGCTTTGCCATAGCAAAGCACATAGAATCCAAATATTTAAGTTCTGCATTGCACATGTCTGGCTCTTGATTTCAACAAGATGAATCTTTTAAATATAAACTTGGGATTTCCCCCCCCCCCCTTTCCCTTCCAACAAATATAACTTTAAAAATGTGTTGGTTATGTAAAGAAAATAGTGTTAAAAATTTAAAGAATCCAGTGACCACTTTGTTTAATAAATCAGTTTTAAGTTAAAACAGCTTATAAAAATGTGTTTTACAAACTAACAGATTTCTTCTTTGTGCATTTTAATTGCATTTGAATTTCCATCCACATAGAACTTGACAAAAATTACAAGTAAAATTAATCTAGTAAATAAGAAATGTATCACTTATTTAAAATGTAAAATTTAAAAAATGTTTATTTAAGTAATTATACAAGCTAAAATTTATAGATATAGTGTACCCTCATAATTAGCAGAAAGAAGTATCTAATATATTTAGCTGCAGATCAACACATTTTAAGCAACCAAAAAGAATGATCTTTCCTTTTGGAAAATAGTTCAAGTATAAGTGCAAAACAAGATGAAAGTTGATTTTAAATCAAAGTTTTCTGCTTGCTGATTAAATGATTAAAATCTGTTTTTAAACTTTTTTTATTTCAATCAGGCCATTCTGGTCTCCTCTCCCATCTGTGTGTTTCTAGATATGTCTGTTATGTTTTAAAACCTGCAGCAACCAGGCTCTCACTTGCCACTGCATGCTTTAAAATGCAGTGTAGACATATCTTCTGTCTCCCCCTTGAGTCCTTTTAAAAACTTTTCTGTTTTGCTGCCTGGTGACTCCTAGATCAGATTCCTCAAGTGATCCCAAGCCCCTATTAGGTGACTTCATTGCTAAGCAACCTCTCCCTTGATAAGCCAGTTCTCCTGAGTAGGAGCCAGCTTTTTGTTTAGTGCTGACTCAGTTTCTGTGTGGTAGTACTAAATCAATGACCCTCTTATTGCTGGCGTTCTGCTACCAGATTTTAAAATTTCAGCCCAACTTGAGGGTAACGGGACAACAGAAGGTAAAGTCTATATCCACAATGGAGTTTGCAGTCAAAACACAGAATTCATAAGTTCTGTAGGGTTTTTCCTTTCCTCCCTGCTCCCAGGATATAGTCTATTGCATATGGTCAAGAAAAATGCTAGACTTTTCAATCAGAAAAGGGCAGGGATTGAATCAGGCCAGATTGCAATAAGCTAGTATTCAGCAAATCAGAACATCCAAATTTGTGTTTCAGAATCTAGCATTTAATAAAAAACTTAACTTGGGAATCACAAGGAATAATTAACATTCAAAATGTGCATCCAGTATAAACTGGTGCAGTGACCTTTCTGGAGACACTAATTGGCTGGTGTGTACTGTAACCGTCCTTCAGTAGCTGTTCCACAATACCCTATTCCTGGTGAAAGTGCCTGTTCTGGTCACAATTTTTTAAACTCTGGGGCCAAACCCTCACATATTTTTGAAATGCCTTTTCCTGAATGCCCACTTGGTGCAAACACCCACCACCTGTCCCTTGTTGTATACAACTGCCAAAACTGACCTGGCTCTATATACAGAGATACTACATACTTCCTGCCTACTCCAGACAGAACTGCATTTGATCTCCTGAGCCTATAGAGAGAAGAAGCTGTGCAAGTACAGCTATGAACAAACTGCAGAAATGTGGACATGTAGCAGATTGCAGTAGGGATGCAGTCAAGGTGATCTGACCAGGATCAGTAGTAGTTATGTATGAAAGCAAAGGAACTTCAGGCCAGAAGAGGAGACAATAGGTCTGGTGTTGAATCTCATTACTGCTGCTTTTGCAAGGAACTGCATGCTATACTTAATGAAAACATCACCAGGACCCTGCAGACCACGTATCTCTAAGGAGCCCTACACAGGTCCCTGCCAGAAACAATGAGGAGCAGGAAAATGTATGAGGGACTCAACAAGCCAGGACCTTTTTGAGACTCCTGTATAGTTCGCCAGTCTGCCAAGGAAATGGAGATGAGCCTTATGAAAGGGAAGAGACCATAGGCAAGTACATCCATGGATTTTTGCTTAGCCTTCTGATTTAAAGGTGGTACCCATCCCATCTAGAGATTTTTAAAATTAGATTTATCAACTAATCAAATAGTCAATGGAATTTCCATTAGAGCCCGCCCAGCTACATTTTGAAGGCGGAAGTACCATGCGACTTTCTGCCTTTGAAATGTACAAGAGCCAAAGGAGGGGCTCTTTTGCATTTCAAAGATTGAAATGCTGAGCCTGAGGCCAGCGGGGAGTCTCGTGCTGACACCAGGTTCCATGCAGGGAGTCCCCTGTTGACTCCGGGACTCTCCTCTGGCCCTGGGCTCCACATGGCATTTCAGTCTTTGAAATGTACAGTTCAGTGGTGGAATGCTGCCGCTGTGCCCCTGCCCCTCCCATGGAGCCAGCTCCCCCCAGCACCCGGTCCTCTTCTTCCCCCCCACCTCTTTCAGATTATAGCAGCAAGGGGGGAGGAGAAGCGACTTGATGACTAGTCACTTACATCTCTAATCCCATCCCAAGATAACAAGATGCAAGTATCAACTTTTACCTCTACTTATATGATTTTAAAAAATTGAAGAGTTGGCACCTGCTTTTTCTTTCGCTGTTAGCAGTGCTGGGAGTTGGAGGAGATTTTCAGTGCATCATGTGCATAGGGATGTCCCTGTTCTGAGATTTTGATGAAACTTGTTGAGAAATTCTGCAGTGTTTCTCCCAAAGGCTTCTAGGGATGGCTGCCTTCCTACTTTGTCTACAGTGCAACACTTTTCCACATCACTTGCTGAGTTCAGTTGGCACCATTGCAATAAATAGGCTAACTACATATGTATTTGGGTAGCTTCAGGATGCTAGTAGAGGTAAATAAGGACTAAAAGTTTAAAGCTTCACGCTACAGAATTTTTTTTCTCTGCTTGCTTCTGGTATGTTGTATTCACCATGATGGTCTGGAGAGTGGTACTATGCTGAAGTGTTCCAAAGTGGATGAAGCTGAAATACCAGTAAGCCTCTTTATTAAGTGTTTATGGGGCTAAAAGGGAGTTTTGAGACTCTTTTCTTCTTTCCCCTGTGACTGTAAGTCAAATTATACATCTGTTTTAGCAGCAGCTTCTGGCATTCTAGTCTTGAGGGATGTGTCTCCATGCGTGTAGAATGCCTGACCCTGATGAAGAGGACTAGTGGAGACCTATTCTGTGAGATCCTGCAAGCGAATGCTGAATTGGACTATGGACAAGGGGCTTGGAGGGTCTATGTGACTGACGGCATGGAGACAGACAGAGGTCAGGAAAAAAGGCCCAAGAGTCCCAGCAGACCAAGAGAAGGAAATACACCAAGGCATAATGGGTGGTCTTAAGCTGCAAATCCAAAAGTTGCAGATTCTGTCCTATAAGTCCAAAAATCCCAGACTTTTTAACCTTTGCAGTCCTTGGGGGAATTAGAGTGGTTTCTTCCTGCACGCCAAATAAACCATATGTAACATTATAGGATGCTTTATTACTTCTACCACTCTATATCGGGGTAGCAAGGGAGACCATAGCTTTTCACACATTGATCCATGAGTGGTTAGTATATGTGTAGTCACAATAAACTACGCTGGTATATGTGGATTGGCATAAATGCTTATTTCTTTTGCAATTTTAAAGCTTTACCCCTGATGAATTGTTAAAATTTTGTATGACATGTTTTTTTCTACAGGGTTTTCCTTCTCTCTGCTCACCTGACCCTCAAAACTGTTTTTGGAGGAATAAATAACTAGAGAATGCATAGAAGTAGTCAAAGCAAACAATATTTGTAAATTAGATTGCACTTGCATTTACAAGTTCAGGAAAGCATCTGATCCTATATTAAAACAGTCAACAAGCATTGTTCAGTTCTGCTGTGGGTGATAGTATTTTTTTTCGAAGTTCCTTGTTGGGCTCTTGTAATATCTCTGGCTATTCGAAGACAGCCAGACCACCCCTGCCCAGAGGTGTGGGGAGAATGCCACTAGCAGCTTTCCCACCCTCTTTGAATGCAGGTCACAAGGGACAAGCTATAACCACTGCAATATTTTTCTCTGAGATTGTCTAGTGTATAAACATACCAGTCTGCTAATAGAGATTTTAAATTCCTGTGAATAAGTTAACCAGTTAAATGCTAAGTTTAACTTAACTGATTTAGCATGGGATCCCACTGTGGGACCTCACCAGTCCAGCCTCCTCACCCTGGTTGCATAGGGGCAGCTTCTACTGCCTCCCCTTTCCCCTATGGTCATGCAGGGATCTGGCAGCAGGAGAATACAGGAGGTGTGGGAGAGGGAGGTGGCTAACCAATACCTGGGAGCCTGCCTTACTAGGTGATGCCTACCAAGTCCCTACCTTCCCTGGCCCCACACTGAACCTGTAAGCAGCCAGCGCTGCCCTGGAAGAAGAGGAGGGGTAGTAGCAGGGTTCTTGGTATGCTACTCTGCCTGACAACGCCACTCTTGCAGCTCCCATTGGCCACAGTTCCCTATTCATAGCCATGAGACCTTAGGGGAGAGTTAGGTGCCCTCTGTCCCCCACCTCTGGGGGCCATAGGGGCACACTGTTGATTTCTGGGGTGTCATGTGGGCCAGGGTAGGCAGGAAGTCTGTATTAGCCTTCCTGTACTGCCACTTGGGAGCTGCACATAAGTGCTGCCCAGCAGGAGGCTGCACCCCAGCCCTTCTCCCAGCCATCACCCTGAATCACCTGCCTTTTCCTGTATCCCAAGTCCCAGCCCTGAGTGCCCTCCTGCACCCCATACTGCCTCTAGCACCATGAGCCCTAGCCATGAGCCCCTTCCCAGGACCAGCACCCCAATCCACAGCTTCAGCCCTGCATCACTCCCCAACTCCCTCCTGTACCCCAGCCCTCTTCCCCAGGCGCAGTATGGATCTCCTCCCACACTGCAAATCCCTCCTTTCCATCCCAGAGCCTGACCCTCTGCCCCAGCCCTATGAGGGTGGGGAAAGCAAGTAACAGAGAAGGAGGGATGGTGTTAGCATGGATTTAGGAAGGAGCAGAATAGGTCTTGGCTTGCCTTTAAATTCAAAAAAGTGATTTTGATTGTAAGAAGATTTGAGACCATTTTTGTACAGCTTAATAAGCAAGGGGCAGTGATCACCTGAGGATAACTATTTACATTTTAGTATTGCCCATTATTGGGAAGTTGGAGAGTTTATTCACTGAGTACAGAGATTTTTGGAAGCTGCTTACCCCATTTTAAAGGTTAAAAAATTAGTACTTCAGGGGCTGAGGTTTAATCAGTTTATACAGTGTGCAAAATGTAAAGTACTATATAACTTACAGTAATTGGTATTACATACTACCAATACTTGTACTTAGAAGTGGGAGTTGATGAGCATGCTCTTGGAAAAGTAACGTTTCTTAGGGAAAATAAGAACTTTTTCTTTCTTTGTATGTAGTTTAAAAGAGCTCTACTCTTAATTCTAACTGTAACCTTATAAGAGAATTGAAAGTCAAATATAGAAAATTCTAGTTCTTGTGATGACAACTGACTGGTAAATGTGTTCTCTGTGGAGCTCTCAAGGTCAACTTCTTAATGTTTTATACTGCTGCCTGTAAGCCTAGTACTTGAGCATGAGATTTTAAGACTTGAAACCTGTTGGTTACTCCAGTTTGTTGTCGTGGAACTGTACCCAGAAATGATCTTTTATTAGTAGAATAACAAGTATACTTCAATTTGGTAAGACTGACATAAAAATGTATACTTATCTGTCTTATTGTCAGATTTTTTTTTTAATTTACCTGTACCCAGTTAGGGATGTTAAGAGGCAGGTAACTGACTAAACACCACGTAGTCAATACAAATTGTATCGACTACACAATTAGTCGATAAGGGAAGGTGCTCTGTCCTGGCTCGCTCTGATCCAGGAGCTACCTCTGCTGTGGCTCTGCAGTTGTAGCAAGCCCAACTCCTACTACATTTAAATTGCAGAGCTGCAGCAGGGGTAGCTCAGACTCGGCACAAGCTGGGACTAAGCAGTCCTGGCTTGTGGTGGTATGAAACTGCAGTGAAACCCTTGCTCCCCGCACCCTGCTTGGTTAGTTTAGTTGACTATGCCCTTCACTGATACAGAGGTAGCAAGGGTTGGGATAGGGTGAGTAGTTGAGTCCTTGACTATTTGCTTACATCCCTTGTACTAAGCTCGTGGTTACCAACCAGTAGATTGTGAGCTACCGGTAGATCTCAGGGACTCTAAGAGTAGCTCTTTAGCCCTCTCTGAACTGCGCCCCTGCGCAGTACATTTACATTAGATTTCCTCATTTGAGGAGCAGCTACTCACTGAGCAACAACACAGGTGAGTAGCTGCGAGGAATTGTGGGAGGTGGGAGATGGGGAGGGCTGAAACACCCCAGCCAGCTGACTGTGGCTTTCACAGCTGGAGTTAGGCGCAGCCTCCCTGGGCTGAGCACAGGGCAGCCGGGCTGGAGGGAAGAGAAGCAGCTGCCCGGCCAGCTGGCCATAGCGCTCAGCCAGGGTGCACCATGCTCCATGTGGGCTGGCGCAGAGGAGAAGCTGCCTGGCCTGCTGGCTGTGGCATTCAGCCCAGAGGAGGCTGAACCGTGCTCCAGCTGATTGGGCGGCTTCCCCTCTGCGCCTGCCCATGTGGAGCTTGGTGGCACCCTGGCTGAGCACCATGGCCAGCTGGCTGGGCAGCCGCTTTTCTTCGCTCCAGCCTGGCTGCTCTGCGGTCAGTCCCGAGGGAGCGC